AGCAGTGAAATTTAATTCGAGAATTGTCTGTTTGATGTCTGCTCAAGATTGAAGTTGCATTGGAAACGGTTATCGGTTACTTCAAACCATATTTTAATTGGATTTTATTTTTTTTAGGCGTAAAGTAAAAAGAACCTGCATTCCTTTCAATTTATCCCAATTTCTTTCCAGAATTAAGCAAAATTTCAAAATGGTTACTGAAAAATTGAAATCGAGTACCGGTTACTTGAGACGAAAATATGTAGTTTTTTTTATTTATTTAGCTATTATCTACTATAATCAACTACAAACTAATAATTCACATGCATTTTTTTCCAAAAAAGATGTAACCGAATACCGGTTACTCATCGTGGAAGCACTCTTTTTCTTATTCAATGGATTTGAAGAGTTCAAATTGGAATACTTCCACTCATTTTTCCTAATTTCTTTCCAGAATTAACCAAATTTTAAATCGGTTACTGAAAAACTGAATTCGATTACCGGTTACTCGAAAATAATTTATGCAATTTTTTATTAAATTAGCTATTATCTGCCATATTTAACTATTAACTACAATTTATGTAATATTTGCATGCATTTTCCCCATAAGACTGTAAACGAATACCGGTTACTTGAAAGGGTGCATGCCATTTTTTTGGTTTCTTGAGAATGTAAGCATTCAAATTTACTCATATCTCATTACTTGCTCCGGTTTCTCTCAGAATAAAGCTTTTTTCAATCCGGTTACAAATTAAATTGAAATCGATTACCGGTTACTTGCAGCGTATATATGTTTTTTTTCTTTTTTGATATTTGGCGATTGTTATTAATTGTGTTATTAATTACGAATATATTTAACTCTTAGCTACAATTTATTTAAAATTTCCATCCATTTTTCCACTAAAGCTGTAATCGAATACCGGTTACTTGAAACGTGTGTACTTTACTTTGGATCTATTTGAATTCAAATTTATTCATATCTCTTCATTTGCCCCAGTTTCTTTCCAGAACGAAGCAAATTTCAAACTGGTTAGACAAAACCCAATTCTCAATGCGTTGTGTTTTTTTTTTTCTTCTTGGCCAAATTTCATTGCACCTGCATTTCTAACGGTTTATTGGAAATAAACAAAATTTCTTATATAACTTTAATGACATGTTTATGGCCCATATAACTGTTAAAATGAAACAATTATCTTTCTTTTCGAGGGGGTTTTCAAACATCCTTATTCACCGATCATCCCAGAACATTTCGGACGGTTGCTTTGTCTGCATGTCTCTGTGTGTGTGGGATTTGTTTGAGAGAATTTTAGCCAAACAACAACAATATTGTGTTCTAAGATTTTTTTGTTGTGGTTGCTGTGTTTTTTAAATAAAATTATTTAAATCTCGTTTTGGCTTAGAGCAAAGCACCGCTACAGCATTTTAGCTATACGGTTCGAACAACTCAAACATTGTCATAAATACCGTATAGCCAAAGACCCGAGGAGTCAACCAATCAGCCATAAAAAAAATAACGTAAAATGACATCATCTGTTTGCGGCGGATTTCTTCTAGTCATCAACATCATCATTATTATAATCGTGTGCTGGCGAAAGATAGAAAAGATAGACTAGTTGCAGAAATTTCGCTTTTGTTTTCGAAACATTTTGGCCGAGAAAAAAAAGTGAAACTCTTTCTTTTGGGTGGCTGACAAAGCACCTTTTGGCTTTTTTCGAATTGGGAACACAGATTAACATAATATGTTTCGTTTTTTTTTTTTTCTTCTCAATTTATGGCCATTTCTTTTCAAAATACACATATTTGCCGGTCATCGTCAACGCCTTTCCCTTCGGTATTGTTCACGCCAACACAATGCATTTTAATGCGTTACCTCCCGGCAAAATTTGTATTGTATTTGAAACGTGATATATTTTTAATGATATTATTTCAATAAAATAATTTTCGAAATCGTTAAGCTCTTGAGGAAATAATCAATTTCGCATAAGCCAATATTATTTGGGCGTTCAAATATTATTACGTATCCCAAATATTTGTTTGCCATAAGTGATCAAGTGTGTCTAGTTTGATTTTTTTTTGTTAGGTTGTTTATTTATTTGAAGAGCCAGACAATGCCATCTCCCGAATATTCAGAAATTAAAGCCGTACTTGCTAAAACCGGTGAATGACCTTGAGAAATATGCAAAGTAAAAAAATTGAAAAAAAAAAACAATACTTGTTTTGCAGCAACGGAAGCCGTATGACTTGTGGTGGTGATGTGAGTGTGCGTGTGTGTTCTTGTTAGCCAAGGGAACCCAAGAAGTGTTCCTGACATCGCACATATACACACACTCAAATCCGTAAAGTCATCATGTGTTGCTGGAGTTGGATTACAAGCATCATCCATCCGAAAACAAAAACATAATTAACCAATTTACAGACTCATTGCTTTGGTGTGGGCTTCAGCCTTTTCTGTTATTGCTGTCTTTTTGGGGCTTGGTTGTTGTGTTTGAAATCATCATCTTCTTCTTCAGCAGCAGCAGCAGCTGATTTCTAGCTAGGCATACACACATGTGTACACCAGTCAGTTTTGAAATTTTTTATTCAATTTGCTAATTAACCTGGCAAATACTTGCTCTCAAAATAAGCTACTTTTTTGAATTTGAATTTTTTCGATAAACTCAAAACATTGGGCCGGCTGTAAGCGTGGTGTGTATGTGTTGCATTTTTAAGCTGTCTATTAGGCATTGCAAATTTTGGACAAAAGAAAAACGAAAACAAAAATTGAATTGATAACGAAATTGAAATTAGAATATATATTCTTCAAAATAGAAAACGCCTGACTAGATTCTTAATTTGTTTTCATATGAATTGTGGGGGTTTTTTGTCAAGAGAGAGCGAGAAAGAGAAACTCTCTTGGAGGTGAGAATTTGAAATCCCGGATATTTACAAACACAATTAGAGCAGTATAATTCTCAATAACACAAATCAAATGTGTTTATTGTTGAATCTGCAGACTGCAGAATCTGCAATTTTGGAATTAGCATTCAAAACTAAAATGGAATTAAGTGAAGGCTCGAGTTCCGGCCTACAAGAGCTCGATGATCAATGTTAAAGACCCTTTCAATTTAAGTGGATTTGAAACCACAAATGCCAGGTCTAAATGCCACCCATTTTTGAGTCTGAATTCCAGAAGACACCTCAATAAATATTAACTTTCAATCTTAATGTTTTCTAAATTTGAATTGAATTATTATTGAGTTATTGAATAAATATTGCAATATCTGCTATTCCGGAATTAACTTTACAGCGAATTGAAATTAATTCGATCGAACTGATTTGATGTAGGGGATATGGGTCTGCAAATCTTGGTGTTGTATTTCGAAAATCATTGAAGACACTCGATTTTCAAAATCAAAAAATTGATTTGAAACCACAAATACCAGACCTAAAGGCCATACACTTTTTGAGTCTGAATTCCAGAAGACACCTCCATAAAAATTTCCTCTCAGGATCCGTAGCATCTTCTTCATATCCATTTAAAAAAAAAAAAAAATCACCCCAATAAAAATCGTGGTCAAAAGTCATTGAATCTTTCATAAACACCAAATAGCTTTAGGTTAGGGAAAAGAAGGTAGGGGATAAGGGTCTGATTTCTACGGGGACACAATTAGGTCTAGGAAAAACAGGGTCGGGAAAGAATTAATTAGGATCTACAATGGTATACCAAGGTCTTGGGTTAAGGGTTTCAAAAGGGGATATTTTAGAGAGGGACAATTTTAAGAAAGGGTTTTGGTAGTTGGATTTTTATTTCGATTTCAATGACCATTTTCACAACGATAATTTATTGGTGAAAACTTTATTCAGCAGGAAAAGAAAAAGCAGGTATCCCTCAATGAAAAAAATATTTGTTGAGGTGTTTATCAGCTATTCATACTCGCATATTGCAGACTATTTGGGACAAAGAAGAAAAGAAAATAAGAAATTCTCTTTTTGGCAAAAAATCTCCATGAAAAGGGAAATAATGTTCCCATTTTGGTATAACATTTCCTCAAACGGAAATATTTTTGAAATATTTGGAAAACGCGGACTAAGCCCAAAAGTACTTAATTTTAAAAAAATTTCCCTTTTATCTAAAAATTCCCAAAGAGGTAAATTTTTGTTCCAACTTTTTTGTACGAATCTTTTTCATTTTTTGAAATATTTCGATACTAGTTTAAGTTTGAAAACAAAATTCGAAAATTTCCCATTTCAGAAAAAAAAATTCTCTCAAAGGGAAATTTTGGTTTCGGCATCATTTTAAATATTTCATTCAATTTTAATAGATAGGGTTTAAAAAACCTTTTGGTAAAAAATTAAATAGTCCAATTTTGGAAAAAAATTTTTTTTGAAAAAAAATCACTCAAAGGGAAATTTTTGTTTCGGTTTTTTTTTAATTTATTATTTTTTCGAAATATTTGTATCTCTTTTAGAAGCTTGTAGTAAGGCGAACTATTTTGGAGCAAAATATCAAAAATATCCCTAATCAAAAAATTCCATTTGAAGGGAAACATATATCCCTTGGGGAAAATATATCTCCTATGGGGGAAATTTTTTTTGCCTTCATTCCCTCTAAATTGGAAATTCGGTAATTTGGGAACAAAAAAAAATCTTCAAATGAAAATTTTTAATTTTTGAGTTTTGCCTTGTTAAGGCAAATTGGCTATTTTTCTCTATTGGAGAAACATAGAGGCATTGGACCATTGGAAAAATATTTATTTTATGAAAATTTCCAAAAATAGGGTCCTAAAAGACAAATTTCCCATTTAAGATTTTCTAAGAACTAAATTTTTCTAAAAACTCAATTCCTTGAAAACCCGAATTTTTCTTCTTTGAACTAGAATTTCCCATGATGGGAACTTTATTTTAAAGTCAACACTTTTGAGATTATTCCTTCAACACTTTTTTATAATCCTTTGCAAGCTCGATCTGATCTTGAAATATTTACTTTTTAAATTAATTATTTTCATGTTTATTATTTGTATTTTTTTTTAGTTAACACTCACCATGCAAAAAACTGCACGCGCCATACTTCAGCAATTATACACGTGGTAAATCACAGGTATTTAAAATAAAAAATATTTATGTTTACGTTCTAGTGATCCAGTAAATAAATCTTGAAATAAAAAAAGAACCAAAGAAAAACAAAAAAATTAAAAAATTTTGTCAACACTTTTTTTCTACAGCACTTAATATTATATTTTCTGTCTTCTAAATAACATGCTCTTTAGTTCTTTGCAGTGTTCTTTTTTTTTTGCATTTTTATATTACAACAACAATAACAAAAAATATTCCTTTGTGGGTCCTTTTGTGATTTTTTGTTTTTAGAATATTCTGTTCATTTTTTTATTCTTTATATTTCATTAGAAGTTTTTTGGCAATAGTCTTTTTTATATATTTTTTTGGATATTTTTTATAAAATTCAAAATTTACAATTTATTTTAAATAGAGGATAAGTTGCTAAGCTTGAGACCGTACCGTTTTGATCGACCTATGAGAACTGAAGATGATACGGCAAAAGCTTTCGAATATAAACAACGTCGGTGCGCAAGCGTTTCTTGGTTTGGAGATGCGTTGTGACGTCACTGAAGGAGAGTAAGCCAACAACTACCTAACACCTCAGCAATCCCCTCGACCGGGCACACAAATCTGCTCACACAATATTGCCAGCATCTGACAGAGATACCAACAGCAAGAACAACAACAATAACAGCAAACGAGCAGATATTTGGTTATGGTTAATGGAGATGAGCTCCATGCAGTCAGTTTGGGTGTGTGTTGTTGTACTCTTTTTTAAATTTCTACTCTCTCGAAAACAAAACCACTTACTCACGTTTCAACCACAATCTCTTAAACACAGCCAACACAATAACAACAACAACAATCTTGGCCAAAAGCTAAAAACATTTGCTTAAAAAAGCCAGCCAGTCAGTATTGAAGAATTCTAATTTTGGCAAATTCTCTTTCTTTTTTTGGCTGTGAGAAAATCACCCCTTTTTCTCGTCAGTGAGTGAGTGTGTGTGTGTGTGTGTGTGTGCTGGCTTCGTGGTTATGCTTAGCCATCAAATTTGGTCGATCGGGTTTCTATCTATATGATATTAATTTTCTCAAAAAATAACCAGAATTTCTTGGTTTTAATTTTTTCAAAAAAAAAACAAAAAAAAAATCTTGTTTCCAACCTGAAGATTTTACCTGTGTTGATTCATTTGAAAAGAAGATTTTTTTATTATTTCATTTTTTTTTTTTTTTTTTTGGCAAATACATACATATTTGATCATCTAGATTTTCCTGTTTCATCAAAATTGGCGGAATTAAAATTAAATTCTATTCGATAAGAACATACGCACACATGCACATTCGTCTACACACACACACACACATATTATGCCTTTGAGCAAATCTACCCCCCATAGCCAACATGGCATCAAAATCGCCAATCAATCCTCTTTGTGGCTAAGTGTGCGTGTGAAATTAATACCGAAATTCCATCTTATTTACAGCTAATCGCCTATTTACGAAATTTTAAACAATTGGCATGTGTGTGTTTGTAATCCAGGAAATCCGCTGAAATTGAAATAGATAAATATTTTATTTTTGCCACATTAAAAATATTTCCAAGTGAATCATTTTAATTAAAACCAACGACATAAAATTGAATTCCGTTTAAGGCATTTTTTGGCAGTTATTTAAGCAGGGATTGTGGAAAATAAAATTCTATAAAATCAGTTGGATCCTCTATATTCAATGACAATCTCCAGAAATATTTAAAATTTGAAATATCAAATCTTTATCTCTAATATTTTCAAAATTGCCACAAACCCTTCATCTTCGAAATACCCGAATCTTGAAATGTTTTAATTTTTTTTTTAAGAATTTCCTTAACAATATTTTTGAGGAACTCTCAACGGCATAAGAATCCAATGCCAACTTATCTCGTATTCGGAAACGAGCACGGAATTTTTATACCCTCCACCATTCTATGGAAGGTATATTAGCTTTGTCATTCTGTATGTAACTCCTCGAAATATTCAGAATAGACCTTCCAAGGTATATATATTCTGGATCAGCGTAAAATTCTAAGACGATCTAGCAGTGTCCGTCTGTCTGTTGTAATCACGCTATCTTTCGAACTAATTGAGATTGAAGGCTAAAATTTTGAATACATGCATAGCTTACCAGTAGGCAGGTTAAGTTCGCAAATGGGCCATGTCAGTCCATGTTTTCATATAGCCCCCATATAAAGGTACTTCCCGATATTCGTTTTTTTAGGATTTTTGCGACATTATTCACCGGAAATGTTACAAATTTCGTATTTAAAGTTCGTAATGGGTACTAGAACCTCTGGCAAAAAATTTCGTATGCAGGCCCACGTCTTCGTGTTGCCCCGATATAACGGCACCTCCCGATATTCCGTATTTTCATGATTTTATCGACATTATTTACCGGAATTATTTCAAATTTCGTATTTAAAGTTCGTAATGGGTACTACAGCCTATTAAAAAAATTTCGTAAGCAGGTCCACGTCTTCGTATGGTCCCATATATTTTCAGATTTTTTTTAATTATCAATTTCTTTCCAAATGGTGGAGGGTATTAAAAGTTCGGGCCGGCCAAACCTAGCGTGTTAATAGCCTACACCACAAAGTGGTCAGGGTATTATGTCTTTGTGCATTTGTTTGTAACAGGCAAAAGGAAACGAGATAGACCCATAGTTTCTTATGATGATCTGCTTAGAATCAGATTCTGAGTCGATCTATGCATGTCCGTCCGTCCGTCTGTCCATGTATTTTAGTGAACAAAGTACATATCGCATTTATTACCCGGCCCATGTGAAATTTTGCACAAATCATTTGTTTTCCCAAGGACGAACCCTATTGAAATTGGAGATAATCGGTAAAAATTTAAATATAGCTCCCATATATATATTCGTCCGGTTTGCCTTTCATTGTGCACCAAACGTGTAATATCAGTCCGAATAGTATGGAATTTTGCACATACAACCAAACTAGGCCTGAAAATAAGTATGTTAAATTTGATCGAAATCGGTTCAGATATAGCTATAGCTCCGATATATATATTGTTCATCCGATTTGTCACTTTTAGTCCTCCACAGCCGTTATATGCACTCTGTAACAACAATATTAGGGGAAATATATCAAATACAGCTCAGAAATACATTTGCAAAATTTTATAGAGATCTGTTCGGATTTGGATATATCTCCCATATATAACTTCGTCCGATTTACCTTTTATTGTGCACCAAACGTCAAATATTTGCCCAAATAGTATGGTATTCGGCACTTACGACCGAAATGAGTCTAGAAGCAAGTATGTCAAATTTGGTGAAGATCGGCTCAGACATAGCTATAGCTCCCATATATATTGTTCATACGATTTTTTATATTTGTTACCAACAGCCGCAATATGCACTCCGTAACAACGATATTCAGGGAAATATATCAAATGCAGCTCAGAAATATCTTTGCCAAATTTTATCAAGTTCGGTTCAGATTCGCATATAGCTCCCACATATATCAAATGGGCAATACAAGTCCGAATTTAAAAGATACAAATGCTTCGGCATATTTTGTCTTCCGAACTTTAAATTATAATTATAATCATAGCGTGTATGATTGAATTTTCCCATAAAAAATCTTATTTGTTAAGTGGAGCTCTACTAAATTAGCAAAGTGGTATAGGGTATCATAAAGTCGGCCGCGCCCGACTTTAAGACTTTCTTTACTGGTTTTTTCTTGGAAATTTTAATAATACACATTTATGGACTGTTTGGGCTGCAATCGTGGATTTTTTAAAATATATTTTAGTGGACCATTATCGTCAATTTATTTATTTATTTTTTTCTTTTTTGAGAAATTATTGTTGTGGATATATAGAATATTCTTTCTTGCCATAAATATATTGTGAGAGGATGTCATATCCGTAATCGTATTTTTTTAAAGTATATTGTCAAGAAACTTTAAAATCTATATTCATAGAATTTGTAACATTTTCCCACAAATAATTCTTCCTGAAATCAAAATGTAAGGTTCTACCTTTATGAAATCAGGACTTTAAATAAACTTATGATTAACTACAGCATGAGTAATCTAATTTCGTTTTATTTCACAATTGTATTTTTTAATTAATCACAAACATTTATCAATCTTATCAAATGAGTTATGATTTCGGTGCATGGGTATTGGACTCGACATTTTACAAAACAAAAGGCGATGTCAGCAATTAACGAGGATAAGTATTTATGAATGACTTTAAACCCCTACTGCACAACAAAAAAAAAAAAAAAAACATATAAATATATATTAAAAAATAATAATCTGAAGGTCTTTACATATACAAACAGATATGTGTACATGAGTGCCTGCCTGCATTCTGATCATCGAAAGTGTGAATTTCAATATTAATGATTGCGTATTAAAAAAAAAACAATTCCTTATTTTACAAAAGTACTTTGACTTGCAGCGCTTGATATTAACGACTTGTGTCAATGGCATGTTGTGATTTTATGTGAATATATTTTTGAAAATAAATTTTGTTTTTATAAATTTTATTTTTATTTTTATATACTGCATGAAATAAAGAAGAGACAAATACTTTGTAAATTCTCGACACTTTGCTATTTTTTCAAAGTTAAAAGTAGATAATTGGAAGAATAAAAATCCGATAAAATAAATCATATTTTCTTTTTTTTTTTTTTTGTTTCGAGATATTTAAATAAAAAAAATCAAAATTTTTGAATAAAAACAAATTCTCTAGTTCCAAGATTAATATAAATCTCGCTTAATATAAGTCTTCGATCGAAATTTGTATTAACTTGGGAACTAGAAAATTTACCAGGAAATCCTTGGAAAAAGCTCACGATTTCTATGATCTCCGTTCAAGAGATTCTTGAAACGAATTTCTTAAGAAATCAATGATTATTTACCAGGAAGTCCTTGGAAATATCAACTATTTACATGAGTTTAGGTCACAAGGTTCTACAAAGGAATTCTTAATGAATATGACAGATTTCGGTAAGGAGTTTTTCAAAAAAAAAAATTGTTTTTTAGGAAAAGCCTTGTACAAATATTAAAAAAAACGAATTAATATATATTTTCTTTAAAAAAATTGACAATTTTTAGTACAGGGAATTTTTGCTTATGTTCAAGACATTTGTCCAGATGATTTTAAAAATTATTCTTAAAACATCCACGATTTGTTTTTACAGGGAAATCTTAAGACATCTACGATTTTCATGAGTTTCCATCAATCTGTCCTACCAAGAATTTTCTAAAAAAAATCACAACAATTCACATGTTTCGACTGGGAAGTTCTTGATTTTTTTCTTGGAAACCTTCATTGACGGTTTTCGACCTTGTGAAAAACATTCCGAAATTGTCAGACTTCATCTTCTCTTTAATTCAGATATTTGGTTCAGGTTATCCATAAAATAATTTTCATAAACAAATCACGATTTTCGGTAGCAATGTCCTTGGTTTCCCCAAAAAAGGCATATGTT